AAGAAGAGACATGAAGAAGAGGGGACACATGTTGATGTAGAAGAGACATGAAGAAGAGGGGACACATGTATGAAGAAGAGGGGACACATGTTGATGAAGAAGAGGGGACACATGTTGATGTAGAAGAGACATGGAGAAGAGGGGACACATGTTGATGTAGAAGAGACTGAAGAAGAGGGGACACATGTTGATGTAGAAGAGACATGGAGAAGAGGGGACACATGTTGATGAAGAAGAGACATGGAGAAGAGGGGACACATGTTGATGAAGAAGAGGGGACACATGTTGATGAAGAAGAGACATGAAGAAGAGGGGACACATGTTGATGTAGAAGAGACATGAAGAAGAGGGGACACATGTTGATGTAGAAGAGACATGAAGAAGAGGGGACACATGACATGAAGAAGAGGGGACACATGTTGATGTAGAAGAGACATGAAGAAGAGGGGACACATGTTGATGTAGAAGAGACATGAAGAATTGATGAGAAGAGACATGAAGAAGAGGGGAACATGTTGATGTAGAAGAGACATGAAGAAGAGGGGACACATGTTGATGTAGAAGAGACATGAAGAAGAGGGGACACATGTTGATGTAGAAGAGACATGAAGAAGAGGGGACACATGTTGATGTAGAAGAGACATGAAGAAGAGGGGACACATGTTGATGTAGAAGAGACATGAAGAAGAGGGGACACATGTTGATGAAGAAGAGGGGACACATGTTGATGTAGAAGAGACATGAAGAAGAGGGGACACATGTTGATGTAGAAGAGACATGAAGAAGAGGGGACACATGTTGATGTAGAAGAGACATGGAGAAGAGGGGACACATGTTGATGAAGAAGAGGGGACACATGTTGATGTAGAAGAGACATGAAGAAGAGGGGACACATGTTGATGTAGAAGAGACATGGAGAAGAGGGGACACATGTTGATGTAGAAGAGACATGAAGAAGAGGGGACACATGTTGATGTAGAAGAGACATGAAGAAGAGGATTTTAAATAATAGGGGACCTTTAAAATATTCTGCAACATCCTATGATTTTGATTTTTTTAATTGAATTTAATTCTTATGAAATATTTTCAATTATCTAAAATGTTAGAAATGAGAAATTCACATTGAAACAAACGGGATGAATGGTTAACGGTGGTTCTGTGTGTGCAGGTGACGGTGTACCTGGGAAAGAGAGACTTCGTGGATCACCTGGACCACGTCGACGCTGTAGGTGAGTCGGCAGCCCTCCAGGTTTGTAGATAAGAAATGTCTACATGTTTTAATGACCTGTACAGGTAGAGAGGTGTCAATGACTGACTGCTGAGCCCTCTGCTGTAACGAGGTGCGTCAGAACACCAGGTAAATGATCTCTGCCCCTGATTGGACGCTGGGCTCTTCTCAAACAGTTTCTCTCTTCCTGCTTCAGATGGCGTGATCCTCGTGGACCCGGAGTACCTGAAGGACAGGAAAGGTAAGAGCTTCACCTCCACACTTTATATCTTCATCATCTCCTCTTTTATTCAGATTATTAAAGGTTTACTCCTCTTCCTCCTGTAGTCTTCGTCACGCTCACCTGTGCGTTTCGTTACGGCCGTGAAGATCTGGATGTTCTCGGTCTGTCGTTCAGGAAGGATCTCTACATCTCCACCTTCCAGGTCAGAGATACACCTCAACACAACACCTGAACACCTCAACACCTGAACACCTGAACACCTGAACAATACCTGAAAAGATCAAATCTGTAAATAAATAAGAAAATAAATGTGGTATTAATTGATATAGTAATTAACTTTTCTATAGCAAATTATTTAAGAAATAAATCATTAGTGAATAAAATATTTGGAAATACAGAATATTAAATACTTTATAAGCTCTTTCATATTTATTTAATTGTTTCTGTAATTCATACATTTCAATTATTTGTAATATTTATCACATCAATTCCTTTATTTGTTTACATTTTTATCATATGTATTTTCATATAATGGCATTTTCTCTTATTAATTATACATTTGTAAATACGTTATTAATTATATGTATTCCCCCCTGCTTTGGTTACTTCATATTTCCAGATAGAACTCACTATTCTTACAAAGCAAGGAGCTCCACCTCCCCCCGAATGTTCCTGATTAAACCATTTGCTTCTTACTGGAAGATCTTTGAATGCATGATGTTCACTTTTTGATATTTGTATTCCCCCAGGCGTTTCCCCCGGTGCCGGAGGAGAAGAAACCGAACAGCCGGCTGCAGGAGCGTCTGCTGAAGAAACTCGGGCAGCATGCTCATCCCTTTTACTTCACTGTGAGTCTCTGCATTTCAAGGTTCAAAGATTCAAAGGTGTTATTCTCATCTGCTCAAAGCTACAGAGTGAGCTCCTCCAACAACGCAATATCACAAAATACAAAATAAAAAGTCTATATCAATATTCAATCATTATAATACATGGACAACTTTCATTATCATTTTTTGACAAACTATGGAATTATTTTCTTAATATTCTTTTTATTCTATTTGCCTTCAATCTTATTCAACTTTTTAACTTGAATACAATGTCCAAAAAATATGATATAAAGTAGAGAAAATGTGTCTTAAAGACAAAGAGCTCAGGATTAAATAAAACAAAAAAGTGGCTGTTCAGGTTTTTATTTGACGTATTAGTGATGGGCTCTTCCTTTAGTATCAACCGGATTCTTCTATTTGAGCCTAATTTAGCAATTATAAATGGTTTGTAGGGGTGGAACGGTTCACAAACATTTCGGTTCGGTACGTACCTCGGTTTTTAGGTCACGGTTTGGTTCGGCCTCTCTGAAGAACCAGCACCTTACCGTGGTAGAGAGGTTTGTGTGCCCTGATGAACCTGGGGGCTGTGTTGTCTGGAACCTTGTGTGGTAGGGTCTCCCATGGCAAATTGGTCTCAGGAGCGCGATTGGTTCAAAGACCTCATGAAAGACGACCACGAAGTGAGGATCGAGGGGACACATGTTGATGTAGGAGAGACATGAAGAAGAGG